GCACCCTAATCATTTCCCCCGAGACTGGTCTCCCCCTGCCCCAGGTCCTGACCCCAGTGAGAAGTGGCACCCCCCATCCATCCCAAGCACAACTCAAGATGGGTCTTGTCTATTCTGCTTCCTAAATGGCTGTCCCTCCGCACTCCCCTGAGGCCCCCACTAGGTTTGGGCTGCTGCCCTGCCCCTTCACTCTGTTCTCCACTCCGCCCCCAGAGAGGGCCAGAACCCTGCCCACACACTCCCCGATCAAAGCCCCTTCAGGAACGTCCTACAGAAGGGGAACGTCTTACTCCTTGAACTGGCATTCAAGGCCCTGCATTTGGTCCCAGCTCCCTGTACAGCCTCATCACCTATTACCCCTCTCTCCCGGACACACAGAGCACCACACCAGCCACCCGCACTGCCTGAACTACCCTCCTCCTTCCCACCTGCCTTGTGAGTAGGACTCTTACTTATCCTTCAAAGCCCTGCTAAGGAGTCCCTCCTTCCTAGAGGTCTCCAGACTAGTTCATCTCCCCAAAAGCCTGGAAAGAGATCATGCAAAACCACATATTCCGCCATCCAAAGATTTCAGCCCAGCGCTTCCAACACCTCTCTCCCTCCCAACCAAAGATCCTATGATTCCAAACTCCCCGTGTGAGGATGTGAACCAACATTCTACAATCCCCACCTGAACGGTCTGGGATTTCAATCCATAAATATTATGGCCCTAAAATGCCAGTAGGCAGAGACTGTAATTGTAAAATCACCTCCCCAAAAGAGCTGTCGGCACCCCCACCTCTTTCTTCTCACCTGACCACTCTAAATCGACCTTGCGGACCACACAACTGCATGAGACGGTGTGGGGAGGGAAAGCCCTGCTGGCCTGCAGCGGTGCCCCCACCTCCCCAGGCCCAAGCCCCACATCTGCAGGTGAGCGCCTGGCTCTGCCTAGGCTCACGCCCAAGCTGGAGACCTGTAAGGGCAGGGTGCCCCACGGCTTTTATTCTCCCTCATCTGCCAGGTGAGGCGGTGGGCTGCTCTGGGTCTCCCCTCATGGGCCTGCCACCACCTCTGCCCCTTAGGACATGTACCCCTTCCCCGACTTCCTCCTCCTTTCCTCTCTCACCATTGCCAACAAGCCCAGAGCCTGCGGTCGGGTTGAGTCTTGTCTTCTCACAGCAAGAGCGAGGGAGCAGCGATAAACACATCTGTGATCCTTTCCAAGATGCTCAGCCAGGAGCGGCTGTGGGCTGGCCCCCTCTCTCCTGTCAGCTCCCCACCTCTGCTGTGCGTGGGGCCCATGGAAGCCTATTGTGGGGGAGGCCCTGCGGTGAGACCCCTTGCCTTTGAATTATAAATAGCACATTGCAGGACCCTGTGGGCATCTCCCCCTCAGGCCTTCACGTGGCCCTGACCAGCACCGGGGATCAGGTGGCCAAATGGAGGCCTCAAATAGGGATGGGACCCAGAGCTGATATATACTGAGCCTTACTAACCCCAGGCTAAGTGGCTGTCCTTGCTTCTGACTGCTTGGATATGCGCCTGGACCCTCAGGGTGCCCTGTAGCAGGGTGTGAGTCTGGTCAGCACAGGGTGAGGTGGGAAGCTGACTTCCTACTGTGCTCTGCTTGAGTAGGGTGGCCACTGCCCTGGGTGGCCTCCGTTTGCACCCCACAAAGGGGCCGGACTGGTGGTTGCTCCGGTCTTTCCCTGTGTACACTGGGAAGTCCCGAATTCCACCTCTGGGCTCTGGAAAATATACAGTGCCTGGGTGAATGGCCATCCCAGGAAGGCAGCCTCACGGGTCCTCCCAAACCAGAGTGGGGTTGGTAGGTGTGGTGGGCATCCCTTCAGCTGCGTTTCCCTGAACGAGGAGAGTCGTTCCTGCTCAGAATCATCAAGATGGACCCAGCCTGCTCTCTTCCCAGACCCTGTTCCTGACCCTATCCAAGGCCTCACTCGGCCTCCCCGGAGTCAGTTTCTATGACTTCTGCACCTCCTCTGCTCCAGAACCATCAGTGGCTCCCCAGTGACCATCCGGTACTCAACTATTCGCTCCGTGTGTATATAGAATGCCTCTGTATGCCAGGCTCTGGTGTGTAGCCATGCATGAGACACACAGGGTCTCTGTCCTCATCAAGCTTATGGTCTAGAGAGAGGAGGAAGCCCCAGAACAAGGCAACATCTGAGATAGGCTAGGAAGGAATTGAAAGGGAAGTTTCTCTGGGAAGAGGATATCTGAGCTGAAACTTGAACAGTAAGAAGAAGGCAGCCACAGGAAAATCTGAGGGCAGAACGCAAGGCCCTCACTCTTTAGCCTGGCAAGTGACCTTGCAGGCTCCTCAGCTGCTGTTACCCCCTCTGGGACCCACAGACCAGCCGCTCTGGGCCCCTCGACTCACCCTAAGTCTCCACCTCTGGGCCTTTGGCCACTGCGGCCCCACACCAGACCTGGGTTATCTTTACCTCTCTTCTCTGTCTAGCCAAACCTCACTCATTTGGGAGGCCCACCTCTTCCAGGAAGCCCACTGAGGTTGGTTTTATGACCCCTGACAACTCCCAGCATCTGCATCACCCGAGAGCTGCCTGGAACAGCAACCACGGCCGTATACCTGCTGCAGTGGTGTGGCTTCTAAACCCTTCTCCTGTGTGATATACACAGAGCCTTTCTTACCCCAGATGAAGAATTCTCTCCTTTAGTTCTCCCAGGGGCCCAGCCAGGCAGGCACAGGCCAGGAGAGGGAAGCCACTTGCCTTCCTTCCGTCCGCCTCCAGGGAGTGAGAGCTGCTAGGGCAGGAGGGAGCCTGAGAGCTGTGACCTCAGCCCCAAGGAGTGATCTGACCACAGAAACAGGAAGGAATGAACAGCTGAGAACCCTGGGGGCGGGGGGGGGGTGCTGGCCCCAGGCAGGAGCGCCCCGCCACGGGACTGAATAAGCAGGGCCTTACACTTTACCCCAGGACACCATCCTGGGGCAGGCCAGGTGAGCAGCTCTGCCCGTGTGACTCACCGAGGCTGCCTGGGCAGCTCTGACACACGGGATGTGGCAGGAGGCTGGAGAGGAGGAGGAGGAGGAGGAGGAGGAGGGTGGGGGGCCTGGAGGCAGCAGGAAGGGCCGGCTGGCCTGTCTCATTCCTCTGCACCCCAGGGGGGGCTTGCTCCCCTGCAGGTGTGTGGGCTACCCCCAACACCACTTGCCAGACAGACTCCCTCGAACATGACACACGTTTGCACAACTTGTCATCACTCCCAACCTGTGCCAAGTATGAACTATGTGCCAGGCCCTGGGGTAAGTGCTCTCCACCCCAGCCCTGAGGACACTCCTGACAGCTCTGCTTCTTTCCCGTGAAGGAAGGAGTGACAGAGCCAGAATGTGAACCCAGGCGGCCCGCGCTCCGACCACCAGGCTGCAGCCGCACGCGGCGAAGCAAAGAAGGCCAGCCGGGGAGCCACACGCGCTGGGTTCGAATTCTGACTTTGCTTCTTAGCTGTGGGAACTGCTGTGTGTTGCTTCACGGCTCTGTCCTCCACGTCCTCACCAGTGAAACAGGGACAATGACAAGACCATTGACAGGGACGCCTTGAGAACTAAGTGAGCTGATACATCCAGAGCCAGAAGATGGCCGTTCTACGGACGTGCTCTCACGGAACAAGATCCGTGCCACATCATCATCTGTCCCCGGAATGAGCAGCTCGAGGCCCACACTCTGCAGGAGCTGGAGGTGGCTGAGCCTCTGGTGGTCTTTCTTTTCATCTTTTCTGTAGTTTTTAAGCGTTTGGCAGTGACTACCAGTTCTCAATGCCAACACTTAAAACTGAAGAGATTACACGTAAACTCTGAGTCTGGCCACGGCGAGCTGGCGTTCCTGCACGCCACAGCAGGAGTCTCATAAGTGGGGCCCGGGATCCTTGCTTCACCATAGCCCTGTGCGTGGTCTCCCTTGCTCTTGTCACTCCTGCTCCTGCCCGCGGCCCCTGTGGCCTCCGGTGGTGCTCACATGTGTCCTGTCCCTGCAGTGGTCCGTCCCCCACCCAGGTGGCATGGAGCCCCCCTCCCTGTCTGCCCTGGCTCACAGGCGCTTTGCCATGGAGCTCCAACCAGTCCCCAGAGACTTTCCTCTCCCAGAACCCCAGGGGCCTGCAGGCTCCAGGGTGGGCTCCTAGTACCTTGACCTTCATAGGCACTTCCGGAACCCATTCCCAAGCTCAGGCCTCTGTCCCGGGACACTGCCCACACCAAGCAGCACTAACCTGGGTGCCCCGAGACATCTGGTCAAGCTGCCTGTACTTGAATACCGCCTGGGATGGGGTGCTCACTTTCTTGATAACTCCATCTGTTTCTCAGTGGCTATAGCTTGTCCTCACACTGGCAGGACCTGCCTCTCTGTGACCTCAATCGCCACGGGCCCTCACTCTGTACTCTGGGCCTGCAGACCCTTGTGCTCCCTTGCCTTGAGACAGCCAGCTCCTCATGGGACAGTGTCCAGCCTCCTTTCTATTCCAGCCACCTCCACTAGAAATATCCCAAAACATCCCTGACTTTCTTCTAAGCTGAGCCCAGAATCCAGGAAAATCTGAGGAGGCAACAAAGATGCAACAGTCACCTCCCTTATTTTAAGCTCCAGATCTTGATTAAGATGACCAAGGACATTTCAGCGGCCTTGGCAGCTGTTCCACAGGGATGATTCCTACTGAACTCACCTCAACCCGTCCCCATGGTCAGAGTTTTGTATGGCTGATTTTGTGGACTCAAGGATAAGACTTCATATCCATCCCTCCCTCTTTCCATCTTGCTGAGTTACATCCAATTGATTTTAACCGAGATTCAGTTATTCAATGTCTCCAGTAACCGACATGCTTCATGCCATACGCGGATCCTGACCAGCAGCAAATGCACAACAGAGTCAAGCAGAATGAGGCTGTGGCTCGCCACCAGATACCCAACACCAGCCATTAGGGAAAAGCTGTTTTCCAGCACATCTGTAAGAGCTGCCCGGCTCCCCTCCCTGGCTGCCTACCTTTCGGCCTGCCTCGTTATTGTGTAAGTTCATGAGAGTCCGGGCATTCTGCTTGATCTCCCGGGCATCCACAAAGACCTTGGCGAAGCCGATGCCGTAGCGGATGTCGGCAGAGCAGCCACCCCACTTCCAGCCCTCGTCCCGGTGGTACTGGCCTTGCTTCTCCTTGTCGCAGCCACAGTCACTCAGGTTGCCTTGGGTGCAGGCGGCTGTGATGGCGTGGGCCACGCCGGCAGCGATGATAGCGTACGTGAAGGCAGCCTCCCGGCTCCCTGTGAGGACGAGAGTGGGAAGACGGGGGTCAGGTCCAGGGCACCCCAGGAGAAGGCCAGGCCTGACTACGAAGGGGGAGCTGGGCTCACTGAGCACCATTCCCGACCCCCCCGGAGAGCTCCATCATGGGCTGATGACACTGCCCGACACGCCCCTGCAGACACACACCCACCTAATCCCGTCACCGAATCCAGTCGTCCGGCCTCTGGAAGGTCGGATGAGGGCACCCCTCTGTCGATTCCCACCCATGCCCCACCACACTTGACGTGGCCGTGTAAACTGAGTGCACGCACACGCTCACAGCATCTGGCGACACAGCGCAAAGCAGCATTTCTTAAACACCTACGGTGTGCACAGGCTCTGGGGCCAGGGGCCTGGACTTAAATCCCAGGAACATCCATCCCTGGCTCTGTGACTTTCAGCCAGCCATGACCCCTCCCTGTGCCTCAGTCTCTTTAGCTGTAAAATGGGGACAGAGCGATCATACTTTGCTCAGAGCAATGACAGAGAGCATTAAGAGTTTGTGTGTATCAAGCTGTCAGCTCCGTGCCTGGCTCATGGCACCTGCCTGACACAGCAGGTCGTATGCTCACGGCCCCTATTATTATTGTTGTGAGTCACCTGCTGTTTATAGGTCCAGCCCCTCCTCTTCTCCATGGCCCACTCAATAGACCGTGAGCCTCTCCAGAGAAGGCTGGGACCTGGCCCCCACTCACGTCTGTGTCCTCAGGCATCAGTCTGATACAGAAGGCAAGGGCTGGGGAAGGGGAGAGGGACTGCCCAGTCAGGGTGGAAAGGGGCAGGAAGGAACCTGGACAGGAAGGTTCAATGGGGGGAGGGGGTTAGGGGAGCACTGAGGCTGTGCTTTCCCACAGGTCTTCCCAGGTGTTTGGAGATGGTCCTGCCGGGAGGCTGGGAGCTGCCAATAAGGATTTACAAAGGCTCTGCAGGATGGTGCCAGGGCTTTAAATGGGAGTGGGAGGGTCCTGAGTAGCTGGGCACAGTGGCGCTGCTACCCTGCCTCTTAGCCTCTCTGAGCCTCAGTCTCTCCATCCGCAAAATGGGTTCGAGAGCAGTGTCTGCTATACAGGAGGAAGATGAACCCAGGCATGGGAAGCCCCAAGTGAGCCCTCAGCAAGTTCGCTCTCACAGTGGGGTAGGGTGGAGGTTCAGGGAGGGCTCCCTGGAGGAAGAGGCCCCACATGCCCGAGAGCAGGCAGATGAGGCAGGGCTGACCATTCAGGAAGGGGCAGGGAAAAGGGTTCCAGGGTGTTGTGATGCAGATGACCTCATCAGTGGGTGAGGAGTGGGTGGGGCAGCCTCCAAGCTGCTTCAGGCCTCAGGTCACGCTGACCCACACTCAGGTAGATGATTTCCCCATCTACCCCTCATCCACCTCCAGGCCTCCCTCACCCAGGTGGCTAAGACACAAACAATCTGCCCCCCCTCCCAACCACCGCTCTCCCTCTCTGCAGACGTGCAGGCCTCTCCACCTGTCAGATGGCTTTACTATACCAGGCCCTTTGCTTTGACACTCCGTGCCAGCCCATCCCTGGCACCCCTGTTCACATAGGGCTTCCAGTCCCAACTCCACCATTTCCTGCCCGTGGCTTAGGCAAGTTCCTCCTCCTCTCTGAGCCTCAGTCTCCCTGTTTGGGAAATGCAGATGATACCAGTGTCTACCTGATAGGAGCTGCCGAGAAGTTACAGGAGTGTGTGTGACATGCTTAGCCCAGTACCCAGCTCAACAAACATCCCTACCCTGGGCACTCTCTCTTTTTAACTGCATCTCAACCTCTGGGGCGTGGAGAAGGGCATGATTTGCGCACCTACCAGGTTCCTGACTCTGCACACATTATCGATCGTATTGGTATTAGGAACCAGATGTGTGTCACACGTGCCCTGCAGAGGGCTGGGCACAAAGCAGCCTTGATAGGAGGCAGCCACAGGGTGGACACATGCACAGACTCCACCTCCGGGCAGGCTGGATATGTGACAACGCAATGAAGAAATGCTACATAAGATCTTCCAGTGCATGGCTGGGCTCATGGGAAGGCAAGGGAACCCATAAGGGCCACGTGTTGGAGACAGAACTGATCACCAGCAGGGCAAGAAGGAACGGAAGGTGGTCATCTCGTGTTGCTGGGCTCTGCAGAAAAGGGAGCTGACGAATTAAGGCCTCAAGGACCCGTGATTGGGCCTTGAATCCCACTGAGGCAAGACATTGGAAAGGAGCTAGGACTTGATGGTTAGACTCCCAGAAAGAGGGTAGATTGGGAAAATCACCACTCCCCCCCACACACACACCCAGCAAAGCTAGACAACAAGCAAGCAGGTCTGATATGGCCAGAACAGAAGGTGGGAGGGTGAGGGGTGAGGAAACCAGAATCTTCTGGGAACTGGGAGCCTTGTCCCTGCCTTTGCGATTTGGCTCTGACTTGTCCCTCTGCATGCTCAGGGGCTCCCAAGTCAAGGGGGAAGACTGGCCCCAGGCTGGTGATTCCCTAAGACCCCTGGAGAAGCAAAGACAAAGCCCCCAGATACCAGCTCACAGCACAGACAATCAAACACACAAGAAAGTAATATACTGGAGACAGCCAACAGTGAGATTAGACCCTCGGTGACATCAAAGAAAAGAATCATCAGATAGAGGGTATACAGAGAACAGGATGAGGGGCCCAGGGTCATCCCTGTCCTACCACTTTCCAGCTGTGTGACCTCAGGTGAGTCACCTAAATCGTCTGTGCTCCAGTTCCTCCGCTATAAAATAGGGATGGCAACCATCCACTCTATTAGGGGAGCTGGGAGGATTAGAAAAACTAACAGGGAAAGCATTTAGTACAGGGCCTGGTATGAAGAAGAGGCCCAAATAAATATTAGATTTATTACAATTTCTATTGATGACGGTAGTATTGGTTCTTTATAGAGGTTGGGAAGGTAAAGAGTAGGAAGCTACATTGATCTTCATTTATGGTTGAAGGAACCGAGGCCAAGAGAAAGGTCCGGCTTGTCCAGGCCACCCAACCAGTAGGCAGCAGAGCCGAGCTGCAGACTCGGCCTCTAGACACCCCATACAGATCAAGAACGATTCCCGGGATTAAATGACTTGAGATGCAGCGGGCACCACTGGCAGGTTCCGAAGCTGAAAGGTGACTGTGTCCCCTTTATCAGACCAAGAATGGAGTATGCAAATTGAGGAGGGGGCGGGCAGCCAGGCCTGTCATCTGAGCCCTGCCCTTCTTCCAGACTCCTCCCGGGGGTGGGGCCAGAGGCAGGGTGAGGAGGGGCAGGACCAGCACACTTTGCAATAACACCCTCCCGTGGGTGTTGGTGCCCTGGTCTCTCCAAGCCCCCTGAGCAGCGCACAGGATGCAGATGATGCACGCGGTGAGGGGCAGACAGCTAACTAAACATGGCTTCTGTTCCCAGGCACACCCCCTTCGGTTGGGGAAGGGCAGCTGTACCCCGACACATGTAACTCCCCTGAGTTCAAGCTGGACCCCCCACACCAGAGTGAAGTCCCACCATGGGCTATGCATGCCTTCCGCTCCCTGCCAAGCTGGCCCTCACGTCAGCACCCACTGCCCCAGAGAAGCAAAGCCTGTGGCTTCAGAGCTCCCAGGAACCCAGGTACTGGCTGCTCAAGTCCAATGCCTCTGGATGCTAAAGGGTCACTGTGAACCCCTGCCATTGACCTTGACATTGGGCTTGCCCACCAACATTAGACTGGCCCTACCCAGTCCCACCTCCCTTTCTCCCCCACCACCCACCTGACCACTGAGGAAACTGGCCTGGGCATCAGGCTGGCTGCATAGCTCACTTCAGGTCTGTTAACCTCTTAAAGCCTCTGCTGCTTCCTCTGTGAAATGGGCACAATGACAGCATCTATGCATCATGGGCTACGCAAGTAGACTGAATCACTGAACGAGGGGAAGGTGCGAAGCACAGAGCCCAGCACGCAGTAAGGGTTCAGGAAATGCCAACCATCGTGGTTGTTTTTGTTATTATTACTTCCGAGTCCCATTTTGCCTCATGGTGCTCCATGATGCCCTGGAGGACAAGACAGCCTCCCACAGAGGTAAGTGCAAGGGGCTGATCCAGCCCAGTCTGTCTGTCTGCTCAGCCACGCTTCAGGGTCACAAGAGGACAGGGACCAATGTCTGTCTTGCTTACTTTTTTTACAGCTCCCACCACAAGGTGTGAGGGATGAATGAATGAGCAGGCCTGCATTCCAGCTGCAACCCTGCCGGAAGCTGGATGACCTTGGGCAAGTCACTTAACCTCTCTGCCCCTCCATGTCCATGTCTGTTAGTATCACCTGCTCTGTAGGAAGAAATATATACCACCTAGCACTTAGCTGGTGCTTAAATAACGCTAGTGAGTGTTACAGTGATTATAATTGAGGAACTTACAGGCACACCATCGAGAGGTACAGAAACTCTCTCCACCCCTTGATCTAGTTTTCTCCATAGCCCTCCTGCCATTTTAGATTTATCTGTTGGTCGTCTGTTCCTCACACACCTACCACTCCGGCTGGAATATCATTTCCTTGAAGGCAAGCACTCTGTCATGTTCCCCACTGGGTCCCTGGAGCCCGACACATAGTAGGTACTTGGTAAATTCTGTTGCATGAATGGATGGATGGATGGATGGATGGATAAATGGATGAATCAATGAAGGCTCCAAAGAGTGGCCAAGAACCACATGACCTTTATTTAGGGCTTATTTGCCAGGCTCCCTGCAAGGCACTTCGGAAAAATATGTTCACCTATTCCTTAGGAAAACCACCCCAGGTGAGGTTCAGAGAGGGTCTGACAGGCAGAGGGGAGCAGTGGTGAACTCGGTCCTTTCAGCCTACTTCCCCCTGGGTATCCGCAGAGTTAGCCAGAGGCTGAGGGGTGGGGGTTGTGGGGGGTTTGAGGTGGGGGGAGAAGGATGCTGAGCACCTACTATGGGCCAGACCCACACTTGGCTATCTGTGGTATCTCCCAAGAGCCCC